CACATTTCGGATAATGTTTGGGAGAGCTACACGCCTTGATTTTCTCTAGTTCTTTCCGCCATCGTAAGACCAGACAATCGGCCAAACCTCATCGTTTCATGGTGGAAATTCCAAATCACATGCACGAAGCGGTTTGCCTACAGTTTTATAATCAAAACCGCTAAGGAGCGAAATCCTTTGCCAGGGCCTGTGTTTCCCGAAGGGACCTCTGACCTGGATGTCTTTAAGGCACGAGTGAGTAAGTTGCTTATGGGTAGGCATGCTCCATCGCAGGTCGCATTATCGCTTTCCACCAGGCACCCATTATGATATACAACTGTTTATATAAGTAAAAATATATTTTTCTATACTCAATAAGTATGCTCTCCGTCTTCTATTACAGTGATCGTGAAATTTGCTAGAAAGAAATATAAGTGTCTAGTATTTATAAAATTTTAATGCAATAGATAAATACGATACAGACCTGCCGTATGGTATCATTTAGCTGATTCGAGGAAAAGATAACTGTTAATGGGGGTCAAACAGTTAGCCTATCTTTGAACTCGTAATACCTACGTACATAAATACTATAAGAATCGCTGAAAAGAAAATTCATTAAGCAATAATTTACGTAACATGTAATTATTTGGGACTGTACTTACTATATGGCATTATCGCTTACCATCAGGAGAGATTGTTTTCAAGCCACAGTAAGTTATTTTTTTTTTCTTTCTGAGTTAGTGCTAATTGAGATTAACCGCAGAACTGACGCGCAAAAGACCGTTTTTTTTTGTCAGGGGAAAAACGTCAAATGACTTCTCCCGCCCAGACGAGAATGTCAGATTCTTACTGACTAAAAATAACCCCGTTCCTTCTCCTGCTCTGGGCCGAGGTCGCGGTGCCTCATCACACTTACCCCGCAACCCCCGTCTAAAAATCTGTTATCACGCTTGCTAAAGCCTAGAGCCGGTCAAATTTAAATATTTAAGTACATACTTAACATGTTCAATATAATGGAAAATTTGATTGTTAATATCCATAAAGTACACGTTATTCTAGACTTTCAAGACATGACAGTTAAGGACGCAATAATAACCCCGTGGTCATGACTATTCTTGATTTACTACCAGTGATTCAATTAAGGGTAAAAACCAATACTAATTGAGAACTAAATGAAAAACAATGTAAGCTCCATTCGTACATTAGGTACCTACAACTAATAATGCTCAATACAAAACATTCTTATCAGAAATGTAACTATAAGTAAATTGAACATAATACGTAGATTAACTAAATTTTATTGTCAATAAACAATGTCATTATGATTAGTATGTAGTTAGTAAGAAATGTACCTAACAATGTCTAAATAAAGGCGTTAAGTAAACCTAATTGCACTGGTTTGTTAAAAGTTATCCTACACTTTCTGTTCATGCAGTATACATAGGTAGCCTAACAACGGATATGAAGGCGAGCATACGGATCATAATCTGATTGATATTCGCAAGAGGAGAGGAAATATAAGTGCATTTTTGGATTAGGGTAAGACCACGGAGTAAGAACAAAGGGTAAGACAAAAAGTCAAAAAAAGATCAACCGAATTTATTCTCGCTAAAACTATAAGAATTTTTGAAACATCAAAACAGAATAAGTGTCAGTCCGCTCCACATTGTAGCTAGCTGCTCGAACCAAAGTGATTGATGTAGATTCAACTGGGGAAGAAGGAAAAAGAAACATTATCGTTACTCTTCTAAAAAAATATATGCGTTTTACAAGCTTGCCAATACAAGCAGAGCAAGAAGAGGGCGAAACCTCCGGTAACACTCACATATCGAAACACAAAGCAAGGGTTATTTCACACCGGTTTTCTGTGAGAGTCATTTTAATATTTTAGTAAGTAGGTACCCTTTTGGCAATAAATGCCTAGTAGGGTTTATTTCCATTAGGGTCTGATTGAATAGGATGACATAGGAAATTTTAAAATACCTACATTTGGAGTTATTCTGGGCTCTGGGTCATTTAATTGTTGATACCTATTGCTGTTAGTCACATTGTGTGACATACCTACGGAATGATCAGGGTTCTCCCCAGGGGGAACTATTTTACACGTCTATTATGCTACTTATTTGTCGTTATGCGGTTTATACGTGCATATACATATAGTTCACATAGTGCAACTTACTTACATGCACTCCTTATATTATTGTATTTTTGGACAACTGCTTCAACTATCTTTGTCAATAGCAATTCCGGTTAAGATTTTAAGCAAATCATATTTTCAATTAATTATTTATTTAATTTAGAATTCAGGAAAAGATTTCACTAAAAAATTCCATTGCAACGACCCCAAACAAAGAGGTCGACAAACGGTGACGATAGTGACGAATTCTTAATCAGCTGTAAAATGAGATTTGTAAATAAATTATTGAACAATATTAAACATATAGTCCTCAATTAATAAACGGTATAGTGTTCCACGAGGCCACGAGCCAGATTAACATAATATTGTGGCAATACAACATATCAAGCGGATTATTTGTCAAAAGACTGCCAAAGGTCATTACTTTTTTAAAGCAACTATCGAAGAAAAAACTTAAAAAACCCATGTTGGAAAATAAGAATGAGCAACTCCTTTTATAGTTGTATTTTTTTGATATTCCAAGTGAGAAAACCCAAAGTAAAGTTGCGGACGGTACCTACTAGTTTATAATCACTTATCTATTAAGCAATTTGTACATCGATATTTTAATCCGTTAAATTAAAAGCATACATTAATTATATTGATCTGGTCGGACAAAGATATGTTCTAGGATCGATTTTTTGCCCGGAAATAGAGTATATTGATCTTAGGCTATTTCCATAATGATTTCTGATAACATTTTTGTATGTTTGCAATAGATTTGTCGATGCTAGATGCTACACGTGACGACGGGGAAAGACTTGTCAGTCGACCAAAAAGTCACGTGGATAGAAACGCGATCTCTTGGCATTGATTCTAGTTAGTAATACATGTCCAGGTCAACATCTAGGTGTAGGGTTCCAGAGCAGACTTGGTGACCTTTAAAGGTGCTAAGAGTGGGCATTGCGGGGTGGTTTTAGTCTGTGTCTTACAAATTCTAGATAATTCTAGAGAATTTACAAATTCAAAATTTGTAAGACAGGTAGTTATTATAATCAAGCGATGGTATTAGGTACATATCAAATTACACGATGTGTCATACTTCTTTTTTATGTGATGTCCATGGACACCCACAACACCAGAGGAGTTATTAGCGCGTTACCCGGTTTTGCTGTTAGCCGTTCCTCCCATGGCGCGAAACAACGCTATGGTTCTTTCACGTCGATTTTCTGTCAGGCCGCGGTATCACTCCGGACCAGTCGACCCATTCACACTTAAATGGTTTATAAATATTTTGTTTCTCTTCATCTGCATTCACCAATCTCTTCATACGTCATCGATAGCCGGCTTCGAATATGGCCTATTTAGAATTTATATTTTTTAGACTTTCATATATTATGTTATTAATTTTATTATTTCCAGAGAGGTCGGATATATAATTCCTATGTTCCTATGCTAAAGAAGTATTTACTATTTACTAGACTACGTTATCGTGTCCTTAGCATGCACGCCTCTAAACGCATGGTAAACTCACTGAAGTGTACAATTAACATATCATGACAAACAGGGGATTCTCCGACACAGTTACATCAGAAATAATCAATGCATAGCAAACATATGTACAAGTTGTGGTGGCCCAGAGGTAAGAGCGCCCGCTTCACATGCATGCGGGTGCGTTTTAAAACCTGACAAGTACCAATGTGACATTTTCCGAGTTATATGTACCTTATATGATTATTTGGGCACCTTCACCTTCACTTACGGTGAAGGAAAACATCGTGAGGAAACCTGGACTTGTAATTTCTAATTACTTATAAATTAACTGAGTAACCCGCGAATTTTAGTTAATTTAGTATGTCTCACGATAGTTATTATAAAAACAATTACTTATAAGTTTGAAATCGCCAAACCGTTTGAGCAAGCGTGGTGATTAGTGCTGTAAGTGTAATCACCACGCTTGCTAAAGGCGGTTTGGCGATTTTCACAAACTTCCACACTTGTAATATTAAATAAGAACTAGCAAATTAATCCATTTCCATCCATCTCAAGGCACTGCAAGGAATCTCTTCATTTTGTCTAAAAAGCTCAAAAATTTAGAATTTCCTCTTTACTTCTAAGTTACTAAGCCGACGTTGTGAGCACCGGTACAAACAACTTTTAATTTCAATGAAGATAGAAATATCTTAGCAACTTTTAGCAACAATAAATTCTTGGTAGGTAGGCTTTTTTTTTTTTTTTTGTGAGGGGAAAATCATCAAATGACTTCTCCCGCCCAGGGCCGGGCAGGAGGGAGTGTCAGACTCTTACTGACTAAAAACCCCCCTGTTCCTTCTCCTGCTCTGTGCCGAGGTCGCGGTACCTCATTGCGCTTACCCCGCAACCCCGGCTTTGGTAGGTAGGCTGGGTTGGTAAACATATGAGTTCATTAACCTTTCATCGCATGACTTTTCAATTGATCTATGCAATGGAATAATATAAAATCAAAACTTCTTATATTTTTATTCGAAAAAGGTTTTATTATGCCAGACTTGTGCTAAAACAAATTGCTCAGGAAAGTTGAAACTTAAACTATGTGTGTTGCCCGGCCGCCGTGTGATGTGTCGCGGTTTCGATTCCTACAGGGAACTTCTTTTTTCTAATCCACAAATTGTTGTTCCGAGTTGGATGTTATGTGTATGTTTGTAAACAATACCTTTAAAAAATATGTACCTAACATGTATAAAAATAAAATGTGTTTATTAATAGAAAGTTACCAAAAATCGTGTTAATTTGTATTGTGTACCCACTTATTTGTCAATTAAATTGTGTCTGTTATTGTTTGTGCTGAATAAATAATCTATCTATTAAAAAGTAATCGTTAGGCTGGCTTAATGTTGTGTTAACGTACATTTTTAAAACGTTCTAGAGCGGTGTAATGGCGGCGCTAGTTGCATCCCCCTGAACGAATGCTCGGGCTTACACTTGCAGTTACAGAAGGGCAACACTCCACAGTTGACGCAACTCTTGCGCAGCTTACATTGTGGCTTCCAAGGGACCGACGTGCCTATGGTGAGTAACTACTTCTCAATTATTTGATCTCAAGTTTTTGAGTAGCTAGTGGCTAGAATAACAAGTTATTGCACCTTGTTATGTTTTTCGATGGATTAAAAAAAACAAAGTTATTGAAAATCTAATACAGAATTGAGCTCACTATTTACATAAATAAGTTCAAATTAAAATGACGGTAAAGTCTAGTTTCATTCGTGGTTTTGTAAAAAGCATTTAGGTTTTTTTGGTATTTCAAATTGTGTAGTTAATACAGCAAGGGAACAATTAGGTTAAAGTATTTTGGCCATAAACTGTTATTTTTTAACATTCAATTGTACATACTTTGCAACATGTTAATTGTATTTTTTTATGAAAAGGTTGCCCCACATTAGGTTTCTCTTCTGTATCGAGGATGCGTTTATGAACATAAAATTTCATTTCATACACATCACACCCAAACCCGGAACAACAATTTGTGGATCACACAAAGAGTTCTTCTGGAGTCCCGCTTGTTTAACATTATTCGTTTCTCTTTCTAGATATGCTGTCCACCAGAGTTTTTAGCTACCGGTTCTCCTCAACCAGCGTCCTTGTCGTCGAGAGTTAGTGATCCTCTGAGCCTCCTGCCCAACTCTCGGATTTGCGGGATTCAAAACAATGACAGAATCGTTGGGGGCACACAAGCTGATATTGACGAGCATCCATGGATGGCCCTCATCAGATACGACAAACGTAAGAAATGATTAAACTGATTTTACGTTGATATCTTTTATGAAAATGAATATTAATAGTCTCATATCACGTCAGTTAACTAAACACGGATAGGTATTACAACGCTCAAGAGTTTGTTTGTATCAAATAATCTAAAAAGCTACTAGTTACTATAGGCTGTTAGATATCACGCTACAATCAATAGGAATAATACCGCTATGGGAAGTGGACTTTACAAGATTTGGTACTGTATAGATTGTCACACATTTGAATCTAGTTACCTCAAAACAATACATCGTTACATTACAAACTAGCTTCTACGGCGGCTTTATCCGCGTAGAAGTAACACTTCCGCGTAGAAGTAAGACTATGATCTATCTCTGTGCCAGAATTAATTTAAATCCATTCAGTACCTAGTATTACAATTGAGAGTAAACAAACTACCAGCATTTGTTCTTTTGTTTACAACTTGTCTCTGCATTACATATAAATGTTATATTATTGAAATTGTAAAACATTTTTTTTAAAGAGTAACGAATGGAGTTTCTTGCTCGTTCTTCTCCATTCGAATCTACAATTTGGAATGAGCACCTAGCTTCACTGACGAACAGACTGACAGACTACTTCTCTATTTTGACGTTTCAAAAGTACCTATTTATGGTTTTGTTGGAATAAATGATTTTGACTTTGACTTTACCAAAAATCTATCCATACGAGTATTTACAAATTATTTTAAATATTAGTAGAATTATAATAATCAAAGGTTTTTTTGTTCTTGACTTTTTCAACAGCCGTCGGATGGGGCTTCTACTGCGGAGGAGTCCTCATCTCATCCAGATATGTCCTCACTGCAGCTCACTGTGTCAAGGGAGCAGATCTGCCTTCTAGCTGGAGATTGTAAGTATCTGAAATTACTTTCATTTCATCAGTCCAATGGGAGAGCCATGCTTCAACACGAATGGGTCGACTCGACCGGAATGATACCACTTTCTAAAAGAAAACAGATGTAAAACAATGTATTTTTTGTTTTTTTGAGAGGAAATATTATCGAATGCGTTCAAAGAACGGGTTGGCCAAGAGGGAGTGTCGGACTCTTGCTGACTAAAAACGAACCTTTTTATTTCGCTGCGTGAGACAGTGTGAGTAAGGTAATCATAGACCTAATCCTTAAATCTAAAATCCAAAAGACTGGCAACACGTTGTTACTTTACGATGCTGGTTTCCATCAGGCGATTGGTCTTACTGCTTAACCGTATAAAAACATATTTTATTCATCATCGCCAGTCGGTGACGGTCCACTTCGGAACACGGGTCTCTTCTTCCTGCATTCCTGCACCTTCATAAACAGTCTATGTTTGGTGGGCAAGTTGAAGTACCTACTTAAACACAAAACCATATAAATTTCGAACTATCTGAAATGGATAAAAACATATCGTTTCGTGACTTCATGCTAAACTTTCCATTACTCGATACTCAATCCCTTCATTGAGATGACCGTATATTACAAGACTGCGCAAGAGCATGTGTCATGACTTGTAGGTTTTTACCTACAGGTAACATTGTAAATGGGGGTCAATGTATTGATTACCTACTCGGCCGAACCGCAATGACTCAAGCTTCTCTTGGTATTGACACATTTCTTCAAATAGACTCTAGGATGGTAATTTTCAGTATTTCCAGGATAGGTATATGTATAGGTATATATAGGTACCCGTACCTAACCGTTCAGTTAATTTTGTCCCTTCTTTCTGTGAGGGGAAAATCATCAATTGACTTCTTTTGGATAAAGGCGGGAGTGTCAAAGCCTTACTGACTAAAAACCACCCTGCTCCTTCTTCAGCTCTAGACCGAAGCCACGATACCTTATTGCGCTCGCCCCAGAACACTCAAGAGTGCGGTTGCCCCACATGCCCCAGAACCCCGATTTAAAGATGTACAAGTTCTTAATCAAACTATACCAGATGATTGGTACAACTTGAACTAAGTTATACTTAAGTCTAAATGACTGCATACTCGTAGGTACTTGGCGCCACGTGGCGCCATGACTGGGCATTTCCCGCACGTAGGTAACAACTCTGAATGATCTACAAATTGTTTTGCCGGGTCTGGGTGTCATGTGTATATGAAATATCGTATGGTTGTGAACGTAACCACAATACATGAGAAAATAGGTACTATTGTGGAGCAATGTTGTTCTTAGAAAATAATAATAATAAATTGCTCCAATTTAAATGCCAATCTCGAAGTTTAGAATGTTTCAAATTCGTTTTGCAGGTAAGTAGTAGGAAACATTTTTATGATTAAATTGAGGTTCCTACCTACAGAGAATCTGATCATCAAAAGTGAGGTTAGGTTAGTTTATCTTAAGCTTTCTTTTATTTTTTATGCAACGTCACTTTTAGGTTTTTTTTCTGTGTCATGGGTGCGTTTACATACAAATTCAAATATCTACACAAAACCACCCAGAAATGGAACAATATGTGGATGACGCAGTTTTGAAGCGAACCCGTGACTTTTGACACGTGTCATATTTCATACGTCATAGTTATAGGTTACCTTACTGGGGTTACAATACTGCCAACGTATCTTGGCGAGTCTAAAGTTAGCCAATTAGATGCGCAGTACAGAATTTTGTTCCTAAAAGATCCATTGCGCAGGCAAACGGCTAACTTCAGACTCGCCAAGATACGTCGGCCGTACTATACTTACTCGCCTGAAACTAATTTCCCATTACCTAATTTCCAACTTAAATTGTGTACTTCACAATCGTTTTTAGACTTTAATATGGCTTTGTGTAAACCGATACGAAACAAATTTTATGCATGAATCGAAGTTAAATCTATAAGTAGGTATACTTACCTAATAGGTAGGTAATAAATTGGAGTTAAGTGTCTACAAGTATTTTCCTTACAAAATTACAGAAATCGATGTCGAGATAACGAAAACCGTAGGTATGCAATTTTTTATAGGAAGTTCGATAAATTATCTAACAGGAGCTATACAAAGTGTAGGTATGGCAAAGTGGTTGCTGGGTATCTGTAAGTTATTAAGGATTTGAAGGAAGGCTTGGGCCTCTGGTAGACTAACTCACATAACGCAAGCGTTTTTCACGCCAGTATCATGAGATGACTTCTTATCACCCCAGTCGGTATATTAGTCCCGAAATATGGCTCTCCCAAACTTATCACTCATCATCATTACCAGCCCGATTTTGTCCACTGCTAGATATTGATTGGCCTCTTCCACTGAGCTCGGTGTTCATCAGCTCTTATCATCCAACCACTGCTAGTAATCCTACAGATGTCGTCAGTCCACCTAGCTGGAGAGCGCCCGATACTACGTTTTAGACGTGGTCACCATCATAGAACACATCTACCGCAAAGGTTTTCGGTTCTTCGACAAATGTGACCTGCCCACTGACACTTTCGTTTGCTAAACCTTTTGGCTATGTCGACAACTTTAGTTCTCGGTCGGATCACCTCCTTTCGAATACGATTCTTCAATGAGACTATGCATAGCCCTTACAATAGCTCGCAGCGCGACTTTGAATTAGTCGCACTGTCACTTCACTTTGAATTGGTGTATTAGTCGCACTGTCCATGTCCACGGCTTGGATCCGTACATCATTATATTTTATTACTCTCCTCCTATCATTTGTTTATTTTTTATTTGACTAATATTCCAATTCTAATTATGTAATACTGAAAACGAAGTCCGATTATCTATAAAAAAATATTTACAGATACATTGCCACCAATAAGTAATTATTAACATAACGGTCTTATCATCTTTCAGGACACAAGTGCGTCTAGGCGAATGGAACACGTCTAGTTCCGTAGATTGCTTCCACGACGACTGCAGTGGACCCGTCCAGGACATTCCAGTGGAGGAGATCATCGCACAGGAGAACTACGATCCTCAGGATAGTCAGCAGCACCATGACATCGCTATTCTGCGACTCGCTTATAATGCACAATTCAATGGTACTTATATACCCACCTATTTTGGTATAGACCACTAACTACTCTTACAGATCGTCGCAGTTTCCCGGCTCTTACGGATCGCAGGGTGAAGTTTATAGGTTAAGGACTGGGGCCCGTTCAACTTACTCGCTAAACACCACACTGTGGTTGTTTCACGCCATTTTTACGGTATGAGGCCGTTTTATCATTCTGGACGAGTCGAGCCCATTCGTGCCAAAGAATTCTCCCACACTTGTATACGACCATCTTGAACTGATGATTGTGGAATAAGTACCTAAGTATTAGATCAGTAATCTGGTTTCCTAATGTGTCACGTTAATATAAATTTCAGACTTCGTGAAACCGATATGTTTGCCGCTGAGCAATGAGCTGAGGAACAGTCTTTTCGAAGGCTTTGACATGGAGGTAGCTGGATGGGGCAAGACAGAAACACGTAAGTACTACACACTCATCATAGGGTCATAGAGTCACAGTTTTGGACTAACCTTGCACAATTTACATAAAGGTAGTTGCACAAATCCATCGATTAGTTCCGCTAACAATGGTTGCTTTCAGAGGACGGTGGTAGCGACTCCCAGCCGATTTATTCTGGACCCAATTTGGCAGGTGGGCCGTCATGGACATAATGAATGAATGAATAGCTTCAATCCCACCCTGCGTGCATGCGCGATACTTTAATCCTACTAAACAAACACATACGTATACGTGAATCGTGATACCAAATTCACATCACAGACCTCAAGATGTATCATACCCACCACACTACGCCAGTAAAGCCCAAAATATATTACTGTTTCGTGTCCCTAAGCCTCGGATTTATACATTTGAAAGCATGCAATGCGACACAATGCACAAAATCTTGTCTCTAACCATAGTTACGCTACACATACAGTTATATATTTCAAGCTTGAACTTTAGATTCTGTCTCTTTATGGAGAGTTAAAGGAAGGAGAACTGTCTTACATGTTGGATATTTGAAAAATTACCCAGCTGTAAGCAGTAAATAACAGTCGATACATTCTCCAAGTGTGGCGCTAGTGAAGCAAAGGGTACGGAATGAATGTGACAGTTAATAAAAAAAAATAAGTTAGCAGAATAAGTACCTACCATATTTGCCCTGTTCCTACTGTAGCGCCACCCTAACTTAATGAATTTCAACGGACACTTTGTATACAGACCCAGTTCTCCTGCATCTACCCTCCATATTGTTCACTCATTACCACAGACTATAGATAACTCTAAGTATAGGTACCTAATACCGAAACTCATTACCAACCTACATTGAAGTGCATAAAAATTATGTAGGTACGTAGATACCTATATACACCAATGACGATATAAGTAACCATAGTCATATCCTCTATTCTACATACCTACCTACTCATAAAATTATGCATTTGGAAATTTTAATCACTTAAGTATACAAATCTATTTATGTATTGGATACTATAATATCTTATCAAATTCGTTCCAGAACGTTTAATAATTTCTCTACGTATTGTGTTTAATGAAAATGAATTACTTATTTGGCAAGCTCCTGATTAGGTACCAAGAAATTAAGTGTTAGGTACCTACTCGTTACTTATTAGGTATAACAAGCGATAATTATAATTTAATATATTTACATATACAAACTTATCTAAAGCCGATACAGAAAATGTAAATTGCTTACAAATTTTTACAAATATAGATACCCAATATAAAATACTTACCTACCTACATTTACAAAATGTTTGTTTGTGGTACCTAAACTAAATAACAACCACGTTTAAGCAAACAGCTTCATTCTGCTTGAATTAACAAACAACATTAGATTTTGATAGACGAACCAGTTCTATGATACGATAATAAATATTGCAGGTACGGAATCAGACGTGAAGCTGAAGGTCCGCGTGCCAATTGTGAACGTGAACCGTTGCGCCTCCGTGTACCAACGCGTTAGCAGGACGATAGACACCACGCAGATATGTGCGGGCGGCGTCGCGGGGCAGGACTCGTGCCGCGGAGACTCCGGCGGCCCACTCATGGGGCAAGCGCCATCAGCCAACAACTGGATGGTCATCGGCGTAGTATCCTACGGTCCAGCTCCCTGCGGCACTCAAGGCTGGCCCGGAGTCTACACCCGCGTAGGCGCTTACATCGACTGGATTCTATCAAAATTGCGCCCCTAGTTAAATCAAGATATTGACTGAGATATTTAAAATATTTAATTTTAAAGATATCATGCGCAACAGGGCACTAGTTAACCAAGACGCGAGCATTACCTTCGTATTGTATTAAAGTGTAAAAACTTGAGATTAACTTAATTTATAAGTGTTAATGTCTATGGAACTTTCGTCTATGAAATAAAGTACCAACTTATACATTGACGTTAGTGCCATATTGTTTTGCATAGTAAGAGTTTAGTCACAAATGTGTGCCATCCATGACAGTACATCTTGCCACTGTAATCTAGATAGTAGGTAGGTATGTAAGATTGTGTGTACTAACAACGAGAAGGAACTTACTACGTGGTATAAATAAAACAATGTTACAATTATAATAAAATTTGTATTAAGTAAGTAAATAATTTATTTATAATTAGATGTATAAATGACCTCCTTATAGTCACGCCCGGCTCCGCCAGCTACGCCTTAACAATCACACATCAGACCATCACGAAAGAATACAACTACGGAAATATATTAATTTGTGAACATAGGACGAGTACACTTCTTTATAGAATGAAATATATCTACTCATTACATATTGGCACGTATTATTATGTTTGTACTTTCTCCTTCACACGATCTAGGAATGGTCCAAAGATCTTTTATATTTGGTTTTCTTTTTATTACAATTTTGCTAAAGTGGGACAGGGGGGTAAATAAACTAGGTAATCTAATATTTCTTAATATCCTGCCATTCTCCCCTGACACGCATGTTTATACAAGCTATTAACAAAGTATTAAAAATTTATGTTTATGGCGATATACAATACAAATACAATAAATACCTTCTTATATAAGCTATTTTATGTTTTAAACATCCAACGAGAGGTTTACATCTAAGTAATAATATATTTATTTGATAATATCCATAAATACAAAAATAGGAGAAAATGTAATATACTCGTACATATTTGCCTATACTTACTAGTGAAACAAAATAATGTTTTGTAACAAAGCGAGAAATCAAGAGATTCAAGAGAGAAATACGTTAAAATATTTTAGGTTTTTTTAAAACGCGCGAAAATGAAAAAACAAAATGGCTACCTGACTAAGTACCTACAAGGAGCGACCGGAATTTTTAGCAATTCAGAATATTTACTAGCATCTTGTGTAGGTTCTTATGTCCAAAATATATATATGGCTTTAATTTTAGGAGCAAGTTAACAAAAAGCACTGGTAATTGCATAGCAAGCTACATAAATTAATTCCTCAAACCCCAAATTGTGTCTCGAATTATCAGACTTAAAAAAGGTTAATATTGTATATTTTTAAATAAGAAAAAATTCAATCGATGGGGATATTCTGTGCAGTACGTTATCTATAATCTAACAGTACTTGTCATCGTACCATAGACACTTTAATTTCGTCTTAAAATTAAAATAATAAATCGCTTGGAATGAATTCAAATGGAATGTTTACACCATACAGTCAATCAATAAAGTTTACAACTTTGATTTATGGAAATAATATCTTGAATTCGAGAATTTTAGAATGTTTACATTCCATATAATAAGGCTTTATTCTCAATTCAATACAAGAACAAAGGAGAATTTTACAAATAGCTACAATGAACAGTACTAATTTTAAAAGTTACTCACAAGAAATAACTATTCAACTTTATATTTTAATTCTAATTGACAGGTTAATAATACTAATCAGATTTTTGTGTAATTGTAGAGAGTAAATTGGCAACATTTTAATTTTAATAATACTATAGACAAAAAATCAATATGGACTACTCCGAGTAAGTATACCAGGATCATTAGTAGGGCCATTAGATAAAAGGGTATTAGAAATTAATTTCTTGACAGCATAAACTGGCCTATCTATACATTGGCGCCATCTGCTGAGCAGATAAAAGGTAGTCTTCATTGTCTAAACTTGGCAATTTCTTTTTAATTTTAACGTGTGCCTATTCATAATATACTAAAAATGAAAAAAGTTTTTAAATAACGAAACCTTATTACTCAATAAATTAAGATGCAGCTGCAATTTCTACGGGAATGTTCTCAGGAACAGCTGGTTCAGCAGTCTCTTCCACCTCAGCATGTCCATTCTCCTCGTTATTCCAGGTTTCGCTATGTTCAGTCTTTTTCTCTTCCTCCGGAGCTGGTGTATGGTATTCAAAGAATCCGTTCTGGTCACCATTGACCTGCGGTCCGTTCAACATTACATCCTGCAATTTCTTCCCAAACTCAGGGTCCGTATCTGAGACACTCTTTATCAGTCTATCTTGATCCTCCTCAGCCCAAGTGGGAAACCACTCATTGAATAACTTAATCTGGAAAAGGTAATATTTACATTATTAAAAAAAATCTAAATTCATTTTGGGTTCATAGATGAGTTCAAAATGCAATTTGTATTTTTATATTCATACTTTGTCTAGGATTATATAAAAATATATAGGATACTTTATAAATAAAAATTGTGTCTTAAAATAAATAATTATGAAATATTCTCTATATGTAGGTATAAATTATCTCATTATTGAGTTTTGGCTCAAATTGGTATTAAAATAAATACAATTTCCTGGAAACGGAAGATATAATTTAATGGGATTTCATATTTTATGACTACCTAACTAATATAATTAATGTTATCTGTCGGGATGCGACAGACTGAAAAAATACCGAATGGGTTGTTATATATGGTTTGTTTTCATCATGAAAAATGTCGACTGCCTCATTGGGCAACAAAGGGATTTGGGTTCAATTGCCACTAAGGGTAAATGACATCACTGATGATTAAAAATAATCATCATCAATCAATCAATGATCAATAATAATCATAAATGTAAAATCCTACTGGTTAGGTATAGAATTATGCAGAGTGAGAAGTGGAAGGTACATTGTATAATTCTAAGTGTACTTTCCATTTGGATATATTATGACAATGGTGGTGAAAACCGGGTCTACATAAAGAACCACTAAATGAAGTTGGCATAAATATTGGTAATAGGAAAGATAACTGGGTGATGAGAATCAAAAATGATACTAAAAAAAACTTATCTAATTTTTTTTGTTATAGTGTGCCTACAAAAAATGTTTTAGATGAGTTATTTTTACTTTGTCCTATAGTCGTATAACAAACCAAAATACTTTGAGTCAAAGTCAAAAATAATGTTACATTTATTCCAACTTAAACCTGGACCAGTCCTTTTTTTAGATAGTTGTATTTAAAAAAAAAGGACTTGTTTATGATTTAAGTTTGGTACCGGAAAGTCTCTATAGCACGGCTCAGTATAAAATATCCAGAGCTGTGACGTCATACTATGGCATGTAATTCGATTTTGGGTATTAAAATAAAAATAAAACATCTGTTCTACACACTATAAATATAGATTCAGACAACAATAACTTGCGTAAGATTATAAATACAGGTATAAAGTGATCTAACTGTAATTGTAAACACTATTTACATTTACATAATTGCTGACTCATACAGTAATTGTGTTATTGATTTAGATCAACACAATACAATTATTTTAATTTGCTAACACGTCAAACTGTGCAATTTTATTCTTCTGAAGAAAATTGTTATGAAACCGAATGTACTGCAGCATAATACATTTTTGGTCTACACACATAACATTTGATGCTTTTTTTATGTTTGTTGTTGTATAGTATATAAAATGTTTTAAACTTGAAGCAGGCGTGCATAGAGTTTATAACATTTTTCATGAGTAGGACCCAGTCCAATAAGTCATCAAAAGACAAACATTTATGTTTACTAAACCATAAACTATTTTGAAAAATAAAAAAAAAAGTATATTCAATCGGTTTTTCCGATAATACGGCTAACTGCTTGGTCAAAATAGTGGAATCGAATGAAAAAAGAACTCGTTAGGGAGTAGCCTGTACATTAACTCTCTGTAAAGTAAGCTTTCAAAAGGTGGTGGTTTGGCGACCTTTCGTGCCAATCGGGTTTTAGTCTTGGCCATGGTGCGGAGCGTGAGGAACTGGGAAATCATCTCCTGTTTGTGCGAAGCAGTAATGCTCCTCAAGCCCCAGCCGTGCAAGAGCAGACTGCAGAGCGTCCGAGCTGTACTAGGCGGACGGCGAGCAATGGTAACTTCACCTACAAACCAGAACCATGCTTGGGTATGGTAAGGCACGTAGCATTCAACCCAGGCCTCAAAGAGCCATAACACCACAATAGCGGAATAATACAGCATGAGAAGCAGCGGCCTGGTTTTTAGCTAATAATAGTCAAAATACACAGAGAACTCTACAGAGGGAAGGATAATTTATCAATTTGTCCCCTAAAAAAAATATAATGATATATAGATAATAAAAAATAGTAAGTCAGACAAGCATTTTTGTTAGGGTACTTTTTGCTAGTCTTTTTAACTGTGTATATGTAAGTAATGTGTGTAAACTTTAGACTTAAGTACTATTTTCCAAGAAATAAACTAAATATTATAGTCCCTGGCAAGAACCATTTGGATAAATATGGGAATTGTGCATTTTCTCATCAATAAGTATTTTATAAAATGTCATCATTAAGTTTTAATTGTGTCTACCAGGAAGTAAGTTGATATAAAAAAGAGAAAACACATTTGTATTTATTGTTAAAGTGAGTAAAAGAGTAATTACTAACTTACAACAGTTAGAACTGCTGTGCAAAATTTTTTTTAAACTTTGCTAAAAAGTGGACTTGTGTCACAGATTATACATTAACTAATCCCCATAACTAGAATGGAACTATAAATACTATTCTATTAAAATGCTCTAGCACTAACTATTTCTGTTTGAGTCATTAGCAGTTGATTAAGTGAGCATATTTATGGCATGACTCACTTTGCTCTATTTAGGTATAACCAAGGATTTGAAGGTTAACACTTTAGAAACCTAGCAAATTTATTTATGTTTTTCTGATAAAACTACACAGCTTTGTATAGCCATGTTAAAGAATGCAATAAATACAATGAACGGTATTTTTTATATTAAATCTGTATGAGTAGTAATAATGTAACCAGTACAGAGACTAGAAAGTGTTAATATTAATATTTTAACTCACCCGACACTGGAAAAGGCTAACAGGCTTGTCATCACAAGTTATAGAAGCCAATGAAGCTGCCAGCTGATCAGGTTTGTCTCCCCGGGCAGCGGCCAAAACAGGAAGGAAGTCCTCTCGCTGCAGCTCACTGAATTCTCCGAACCACTGCAGCATGTACCGCAGCTGGGCTTCCGAAGTTAAACCAGGGGCCGACATCCTTCGAGCTAGAGGACGGTGCTCAGTTGCTACAAAATCTAAGTACAAATGACAATTTATAACACAAATATCTTTTATCATAAAATGTACAATGGAAGCAAATAAAATTAAGTGTTTTTCCTCAGTACAAACAGGTAAGTGAACTCAAAAAATACCTGATAACATCGAATTAAATTAAATAAGCACACGAAACTCGTCTCGAAAGTAGGCAATTCGAAGGAACTTTAAAACTTACTATCAGACACCGATAAACAAACAGTGGAGCCGAGTAACAGAGCCATTGTGACACACTTAGACAATAGTATCTATAACAATAGTCTAGAAAAACACTCAATGGAGTAATAGATTGTCGGCAGGAACGCAAACTGTTAGACACTTTCTACGGGCGCTCGCCTACTCGACTGCAACCAAACCACACGCAGCACAAGGCCACATAACAATTTCACCTTTCAACTTGTTATATCATACGTAACATTTCACTTTCTAACTTATAATTTATGAAAATGATTTAAATTTTAAATTTTATATCTCCGAGAAGATGTTGTTTACGTAAACGATATTTACCTGTTTTCAATGAATTCAGATGTTTCCTTGTAAAAACGTATTAATCACTTATCCGTATTTGTTGCAAAGTGAGTTGTTATTATACTTCGCGTAATATATTTAATTTTTAATGAAATCTGTATGTAAAGAACAGCAGAACTCGGACTAAACAGGTAGATAACTGTCAAAAATGTTATTTCACTTGACCTTGACAAACTTGACAGCTACAGTGACAACAGAATAGCCTATTGCGTTTTAGGTAGGTATGAGAGAGACACCTTGTTTTGAATCTAGATGAAGCACTATCTACAACTTCAGCGTTAACAAATACAATACTAACCGTTTCCTCAATTCTAGTAACCACACCCACGAGTCCTAAGACAATTTAAAAATGCAAAATAAAATTGTACTATTCGGTTCAGAATCTATTTTTATTAACTGTACATACTAGCACATTGCAAGAACTCTGCCTAGCTACACGCTACCTGGGCAGTGAGCTCCTGCTTAGATCATTGCTGATAGGTACTCTCATTAGATTACGTAATAAACTACAATCTAATAATTCACATTCCTGTCCTTATTTTATAGGAATCTAAATACGTCAGCTATTGTTGTATCCCATTACACATACATAGAGGCCTATTTCATTTCCTTTGTAGGTATTGGGATTGTGTGCATGGGAATTAGTTGGAGCAAAACTTATCAATAGACAGATTTAATCTGTAGCAGGTACTTACCCATCTGTCTATAAAGGAATGGAATCATTGCGTAAGTAGGCCTATGGTATTGTTAAGGTACCTACCTATTTACTCAGAGACGGTTATTTTGTAGTAAAAATTTTGTATAACTTAGTAAATCTGATATCAGACTATTCTGTGCACAGAAATATCAAATAACACCACGCCGAGTCGCCGAATTGTCACCTAGATGTACTTAGATGGATATTTTAAGCATGGGACTTCTATGTTGACCAGACATCTATCAGTGACATAAGGTCCAGAGTTCTAGTCACAGGCGCCATAATTTACCACAGCTCAGGCCCGGAGCAGAAGATGGAAGGTAGGAGAGAAGGTTTCATTATCATGAGGTGAAAGTAAACATAGTAAAAAAAAGGGCTGGGTTTAAGATTTGAAATCATATGTTTGAAAAATTTAATAATAATAAGCCCGCAGGGCACCTTGAGGCGAGGTGGCGGGACTTAGCGATCCCGCGAGCTACCATCATCCCGATTGCTCCAGGGAGGAGTCACCGTTCCTTATCCCCGGCTTGCCTTTTGTAGAGTAGGGGTAGAGAAGTGATGCTCGGAGGGTGGAAGCTGTTCGTAAGCGGCGAGTGGGCCAGTCATGCAGGATGCTTAGGCAGATGCAGATGATCTGAGTAGAAAGCTGGTGGTAGTTTCTTCACCGTTCAGCCACTCACATTTCCGTTGTCCCTTTGTTGCTATTGCTAGCAATCATTCATCCAAGGTCGGTGAGTTAGCGAGTCTCCACCTGCTATTTTTACGTGTATTTATTACATTGTTTCGGCAGGTTCCATAGTCCTTCCATAGTTCCCATCATACTAGTCCATAGCAACCCACTGTCATGCCCTTATCCTTTATTTCCATTATCCGCAATAGTCCTACACTAACCTTATTGGGAAATAAGTAAGCTATTTGACGCAAAAATGTTATGACGTCATAGCTCAGTTTTTCATACAAATTTCATAGAAAAGTATCGTTTGGATAAAAGTATTGAATTTGACTAGTTGGAAACTACCGTATTGGCTGGCTTGAGTGGAGGATTCGCAAGAGAAGTAGTTGAAGGAGAATCGGGGGAAGGATGTATCTCAGTAAGGTGCTGGTAGGGTCTTGACCGTACTTCCGGGATTACTCTGATAGTCGTGGGATGCCAGTCCTTCCCCAAGCAGCTCAGCGTATGTTGCCTCCGTGTCGCTAACATGTAGCGACACGGAGGAAAAGATTACAAAGTTAATATTTACAGTGATTGTGGTTTTAAAGTCACAGTACGGATCGCAACTTTATTCATTTAAAGAACGAATCATTATGCCTTTAATTCCTTTAGACTACTTTAGATATATTAGGTACCTACCTATGCAAATGTGAGTGTAGGTCTAGCCAAAAGCGAATTCGGTGTAATAGTACATATACTATTACACCGAATTCGCTTTTTCCTAATGGGATGGGTTCTATGTAGAGGTACTTTACAAGTAAACTGAGTAAGGGTAGTGTAGGGTTTGCTTTAGGTACTTAACGACTTAATCACGTGAATTATTTGAACAGAAAGCTACAGGTGCTAGTTCCCAGTCACAACGGGACTCTTATTCATCAGGAACCCGAGTCGATAATTTTTTTATGGAAAACCCGACACATAACCTTATGCCGCGTATAAGGTGCAAGCATATTGGGGATAGTCTCTTGCATAACACGTACCTACATACGAATGAAGTGAGTGGCCAATTGAAAAACACAATAAATTATTTACGATTTTATTATACAAATATTTATAAAATTGGATCACATTACATTAATGTACACAACTTATTGTAGGTAGTCCATAGCTGGCCGTTACAAATTATAATTAATGCAACCTACTTTGACAAAAAAGTATAAAAAACAACACAGACATTTTGTAGGTAAGTAGATTATTTAGCTATTAAGCACTTAGGTACAGGAATGTTCAATTAAATAGGTACCTAAGTCCTTAAATGTTCATTTTCTTAAACTTTGTACTTCAATTATAATAATTACCTACTTATGTATTAATTTTATTAAAAACTAGATTAGTAAATGTATGGCTCATCCAATTCTCTTCTCTGCTTCCTGCTCTCATAATATCACAGACAGAAAGGCGTCCAAAAGTAAAAGACAAGGTTTTAATACTTTTTGGACCTAAGTATGAAATGTGTGCCTACTCACATTTTGTAGGTAAGTATCTAATATCAAATTGATTATTACATATACTTAAGTCAATTTATAACATGGTTTTCAATAAAAATGGGAGAATGGTAGTGTTAAAGTATGTAGTATAATTTTAATAAAAAGTACTTAAGTAATTCATCTCGTTTAATTTGATAAGTAGGTCCTAAACGTGAAATATGTCCTAACATTATTAATTAAGTAGGCTGAATACTTAACTAGGTGAATCTTTAAGACTATAATTATGTCTAGTCAAAACACAAGATAACATGTATTATGTTGCAGAGTAACTGCGCGTGGTCTTCACCACTGGCGCTACCGCCCGCCGCGGTTAATTTCAATATTTATTAATAGTTCCCGCCAGTCAGATATTTTTAAGTCTTGCAATACAATTAGGTATGCTACAAAATTAATTGTAAGATAATAATAATCATTATTATGTAGCTGATGACTAGAAAGTTTGTTTGTTCCGGAATCTCGCTAGTAGATATTGATAATATTTTAAATCATATTTATCGTAAGTTTAGGCATCTTCCTTGTCTTGTCATACATTTAAAAATGAAAAATAGCAACTAATGGCAACACTAATTACTTATTTCAAAGCGAGTATCCGAAAATAACAATATTTTCTCTTTTAGAGCTCCTGTAACTTCGTCAGCATTATTTTCTTACATAATAATTACATTAATTATAAGTAGGTTTATGCTATCTTAAAATTATAATGTACACTTGATAATTTATCACAAATAGAATAATTGTCATTTGGTCAACACTTATTAGATTAAGTACTTGATTTAATTCATATTTTTCATGTCGTCATAGAAAATCTAGGTGTTTGAACTCAATGTACTTATTTCCTGTTGTGGCTGTGACCATGGTCGTGAGAGTGGGAGTGTGAGTGACCAGCTGAAAACAGAAAAAGGAAAATTATTAATACATTACTATAGTCTAAATAACTAAGTATATGACGCAGTACCTATGCATCATAAGCGGATATTTTGCTTTACGTGGCACCTATGCGCATTTGTCATGGGTAGATAATTAATTAATTTTATGATTTTTACTTATGTGTCAGGAAAAATTAACCTAATTTATTAGGCAATGTTTTTGCATTTGCCTACCTATCTTCTTCCCATTTATGAGAATGTTTATGTTACGAAAAAAATTAATTGTTAGGTAACTGGAAGGTATTTATCGTACTGAAAACTTCAAAGTCACTTACTTAGCAGCTGCAGACCGAACATGATGAAGAATCCGACCACAGAAGCAAAGAATTGCAAGATGCCTGTTCTGTCGCCCTTCCAGATTTCAAAGAAGATGACGTAGAGCAGGGTTCCTGATGCCAGACCCTGAAGTACCACAGACGAGATACCGGCAGCAGTAGCACCTTGACCTCCCACCAACAGCAAACCAATTCCGATACCCAATGGCGAAACAATGGCGAAAGTCGTGATGTACACAATCATCAACCAAGTTTTAGTACGCGTAGCGATCAGTTCCACACCAATACAGAAGGCGATGACGAGCTTGTGGGCGGAAACAGCTCCTAACATGTACCTGAAAGTAAAGATAATTATATTTATTAATTAAAAGTGCATACAAAACATAAATTCAATTACAGGCTAAAGCGCCATCTGTGATCGAATAGTAACATCAAGTAAAATTAACGTATAAGTTGAAACTTTTGTTGTAAAAAGTTTTATTACTATTCAACAATAGATGGCGTGGCATGTAGTAATAAAACTACGCAATACATACCAAACGTGAGAAGTGCTGGATTCTAAACCGACTGCCAAACCCTCGAACAGTTCGTGGATAGACAGAGCAAGCACAACGAGTAATCCTCTTAGAGCAGAAGTTACGTCATCACCCACGTTCATTGGCATGTGACTGTGGTGGTGTGAATGTCCGTGTCCATTGTGGTGATGGCTTTCAATGTCCTGGAAGAAGAAAAATAGAATGTTTATGTTTCTATAACTTGCGATTTTAAAGCCTTAGGTAGCGTTTTCATCACTAGATAGAATTTATTACTAATAAATAATATGTATAGTTTATTTCAATTGACTTTCAATCAAGTATAATCACCTTTTTTGACTCAACAAGGTCTGCGGTCGAGTTATTAACGCTCTTCTCTCCATTGCCGACTCCGCTGCGGCTCTGACGAACACTCAAGTTCCTGACTAGTGGCGCCACCTGGCCATTCTTCCTCTCCCTGTAGTGAATATACATGTGGACCAATTCTTCCACCAAATACATGATGAAGAAACCCGAACATGTTAGGAGAGGAGTCAGGGAGAAATCAAATTCATTCAAAGCACCGCTACCTGAAACAATGGAATTAATTCATTAAGATTTATTCAAAAACTGATTGAAAATGTGTAAATAGGTATGTACTTATGTAAACATGAAACCAGCCGAATTTTTTTTAAGACATCTCTAATTTAGAACGAAAATAATTTTGTAGTTTCCTAGGTTAGTAACAAATAAATTCGACGTAAAATAGAATAAAATATAAAAAATATATTTTTAAGCAACCTTTTTATTTATTTGGCGCAAAAACACTATGACGTCATTATTTGGAGTTTCATACACTTTTCATAGACAAATACCGTTTTTAACATTTGGATAAAAGTAATGAATTAGACTAGTCGGAAACTCAGAAACTATCGTATTATGTAAAACTTAGATAGAGAATTGTTTCGTAGACGTTTTACATTAATTTTCTTTTGTCTCCATTCTATTTCGACGCGATAAAGACACATTTTCAAGTAGATACCTAGGCGTAGAACTAAACTCAGTTAGTTTGACACGACAAACTAGCTACGATCTTTATTCCAACAATTCCATGGATTGCCAACAGGACGAACGCATACAACTGTATAACGCATGCATAAGTATAAATAAACAATTATGTATAAGTAATTAGAGTACTTAATCAACACGAGATGGGCGAGTTATTACGTAATTATAACATAGTTATTATCAAGATTTAATCTAAGTATACTAATATTATAAAGAGGTAAAATTTGTAAGTTTGTATGTAGGGGGTAATCTTTGGAACTTCACTGATAGATAGATATAATATTTCTGAGTGCTATAGGCTATAAAACATCACGCTACGATCAAATGGAGCCGAGCAGCGGGTGAAACCGCGTGGGAGTAGCTAGTATTTAATAAGAACGCAACCCGTAGATGGTTTATTAAGTGCTACACTAACCTACCATTTTTTTTCAAATGACTGAATTGTCATATAATGACTTCTCCCGCCCAGGGCCGGGCGGGAGGGAGTGTCAAACTCTTACTGACTAAAAACCCCCCTGTTCCTTCTGCTATGGGCCGAGGTCGCGGTGCCTCATTGCGCTTACCCCGCAACCCCGGCTGAACAACAAAAAGTAATTTACACTAACCTACCTAAGGTACCTACACCAGACTTTATCCATATTCAATTAAGACTATAAGAATGTTAAGAAATTAATAAACATATTGTCCTTATAATACTTATTTATAAATTCGACCGATATTAACGCTATTTATTGAGGTTTAAAAGGTACATAGATAATAAGAAAAAGGCCTGCCTACTTTGCAATATTCGGAAGTTCGGAATATAGTACGTAAATATTGCGAATTCAGAGAAATAAAAATGAGGGACACGGAATTAATTATGAAGTTACAGCATCCATACCAATGCATACCGAATAATGAGTGGTCTGTAGTACATAACTACAGACAATATACAGTTTTGTAAGAATTGTGTTATAACAAAATATATGATCTGTGTCCATATTACATAGGAATACTATTTACATAAATCCATTCAACCTTATACAGTGCTAGACACGCTAAAATAAACCTTACAGCCATCATTTCTCTTCAAGCACTAGAAAATGTTGCCTGGAAAATAAGATAACGTTATTCATGACTTTAAGTGAATGTTCCTTCGTTGCATTTTCCTAAAGGAAAATATGCTTTTGTGTTTACTTTTCAGATTGGAGATAAAGAGTGCATTTCGTGCGAAAGATGGCGCTGTTTATTCCAGTGTATGTAAATGCTTAGGTATCCCACATTTTACGAGTATAACCTACCTAACTTCAGTCACACGGTGAAACAGAACGCAAATACTTTCATAATTTTTTTGTTTTTTTTTTTTAGTAACTTGTAAATAAAGTAGTAAAAAATAAAGTAGTAAGTATATTTAAAATAAAGATTTTAATCTATATTAAAAATGTTTACCTTATAAAAATATAATTATTATTTTTAATAGATTTCCTAAATATTTTATCTATGTGGCAACTCCAACCTTGTCCAGGTCGAAGGCTGATCATAAGTAGATGATGCAAATTCACATCGCGCCGCTAAACCGACCAACACACTGACGAAACACCAACTATTATTATTGTTGTATGCAACTTGCCATTATCTTTGCAACGCCTCGTATGAGACGCATTGCCAAGTGTCAAAATTTTATTGTATGACGTCACTGTTTCCTTAGGTAAAAATACGTTTAAAAATATGCTAATTCGTATGCGGTTTTGCAGATATAGTACCTCTTAGGTAAAAATACGTTTTAAAATCAATTCATATGCGGTTTTGCAGATATGTATAGAACCTAGGTACTTATAATCAATTGATTTCACAGTCTCCAGAAAGTAAAAGGTTTGGGCTAAAATACATTGTAACATACATTTAAAAAAATATAATCTTTAATATATCCTTCAAATATTTTTTACTAGATGACATCATATTTACAATTTTTAAATGCTATTAGCCTCATTAAAAAAGCGAGAAATCATAGAGCTTTAATATAAAAAATATAAATAAAATTGAAAAGCGCGCCAAACGCCTGCGCCATTTTGAAACCAGCCTATCAAACGCTGAGTTGTATTTATTATAATCTATATCGCTTAAGTGGAATAAGTGACTCAGCATTTTAGCCACCCGTTCTATTAATAAGTATCTCACATTATCTTTCCTTAACCAACTTTTGACACTACTAATAAGATAGTTAGTATGTGTGTTCAATCACCCTGAACGGTTGTGTAATACTATTTAAGTAATGTCAATGCCATAGCTAACAGCTGTCTTTTATTGTTGTTAAAAAAACTAAAATAATATTATTATATATGTATAATGAGAAAGTTTACTTGTATAAGTATACATAGGTCCTATATTATGTAGATAGATAGGTACGTAATTATGGGATCTTGGTGGCCATTTTTAGGTAAGTAAATATAAGTATATAGGATTTGTATTTAGATTGAACGAAAATTAACTTTGAACTGGATTTTTTGATTTCCATACCTAGTTTTTATGTTAGCTTTTTGATTTAATTAGTTGCAGGACTCAAGACAATTACGTATTCACGTGATCGTACCTATGTCTTAATCGCTAATTATCACATGCAGATCATGTTTTACGGGAGTTGCATTTGTTTTGAAGGTTATATTGGCAGTCTTATCCCAAAATATAAATCTTTAATAACACCAATATTCGTCAACTAAAATTAATAGCTTAAAACTTTAATCGTAACATTGCGTGTGTTTACGTCACAAATATTTTACTTTCAATTTGTCCAAGTTGTATAAATGAAAGCATCATTATACCATCAGCACCTACGTATGTACCTACAACATTTCTTTACGTAAACAGTTCTATAAAAGTGAATGTCAATACTTTATCATAAGAGAGTGTTTCCATACAAACCTTTCTGTACTGCACAGCTTTATTAAAATTTGGTACCTACGCGTATCTACGCAATTTAGGTATTAAGATCTCTAATAATATTAATTATGACTATAGTTATACCCATTTTAAGAATAAATGGAAATATAAAAATGCCTGCTTTTGGCCTATTACCTACTAAAATGTACTTACATAGTTTAGTTTTTTAGTAAGTAACTATAAGTTTCATTATAATTGGTTTACTAGTTTGTTTTATTTTGACTTGATAATTTGTATGGAAACGCGGTCTGCGTAAATGTTCTTGAAGTACGTAGAAACGTTTCAAGGACCCATCACATCGCTCTGACTCATCGGCGACGGAGAGTCCTGACTTTTTTCTTTCATGTCATTTTGTTAAGGCGAAGACTAATAAATTAATTTACTACGGGACTTCATTATAACCTATTTCCTGTTTCATTTAAAAGGCATACAGTACCTACTAAAGAAAAGAAACCTTCTCCGAAAATAAATTTCTAAAGAATTCAAGGCCAATTTTGAAAAAAGAAAAAAATTGATAATTCTTAGAAAAATAACATTCAAAAACACTGTCTAAAAATTATCAACTTACATCGACTATCATGCAAATACATTATAAACCGACAGATTTAAAAAGTAATCCCTTTTCTGAAGTTCATGTAATGTATTTGTGACTTCGTATTTTGGTCTTGTAAAAAAGCATTGCACGTTTTAGAACTGTTATGCAGTAGCTTCAACTTATGCACATCACATGCTTAGCAATACGTAAACTCTTTACTATTTCTATGAGAAAGGAAGACAAGGAAAATGCCAGTTCATTCACACTCGAATAATTAATATGTGAAGCAGAGCCGATAACGTGCTTGTTACGTTCGTTTCTTATTAATCCAGGATGGAATTGAATAAAGAATGAGGCCCTATGTGCGTTTCTATTTTTAAAGATAGAATGCGTTTGTTTTCGTTTGTGGTTTCCTGGTGAATTTAAAAATAAAAGCGTGTTTGTTCGATTTTTGAAAGTGGTCAAGTTTCCTATTTGTTTTCTCTTGTTTTTATACAGCAGTAATTTTCTAAAAATCATATAAGTAGACGTTCTAAAATTAATAATTTAATAGATTGAGGTTGTTTTAGACAAATATACTTTGGAATTTTGTGTCTGTATAGATAACATTAAGTACGTAACATTAGTAATACATTTTTTTATGATTATTGAACGCAGTTATGAAAAAAGCACGAAAAACCTTTTTTGTATTTATTACAAACAACCAATTTATTGTAGGACTTTAATCTAAACGGAGCATTGCCTTAACAGTTATAAGAAAGAGGCAAAAGCGGCTGACCTCGGCATGCGTTTTGCGCAGCGCCGTCAGACAGCGCTTTCCATCGATCCAGCCAGCTACAGCTGTCCGAGACAGATTCGTTTGTTTCGAAGAAATGCATCAATCACGATCGGCTTACCGATTACATTTTTATTTCTTTTATTGAAGAAAATTAATGAGGAATGTCCATTTATCTGTAGGCGATTAGTGGATTTTTTATCAGTAATAAAATCATTTTTGAACCTTGTTTACCTACTACAAAGTCAACCAGTATTGAAATTTTTTTAGGTGTGAATGTGACCGTGACGCGTAAT